TTTTTTTTTTTTTTTTTAAACATAATTATGTATTACTTTTCCTTTTTTTTTTTTCCTTTTTGTCTTTTTTTTACTGACCGGTAACGGGATCGCAACCCTCGGTGTTGCACCCACACCGCACTCAGCCAGTGAGTGGGAACCAGTCTCCACATGGGATCCGAACCCTCAGCGGGAGCGCCGCCGTGCTCCGAAGCGGCGCACTCTCCAGTGTGCCACCGGGCCGGCCCATGTATTACTTTTCTAATCAGGGGAAAAAAGTAAAGGCTATAAATTAAAAAAAAATTAATCAGAGTTATCTAACATAGGCATAATACTGACAAGTTCAACAACACTAAAGCTTTACTAATGTTTAGTTTGTGTAAAAGCAAGTTGCTATGAATATATAATTGCCTTATTAAATCTAATTACCTCACACTTTCTAGGTCTTTACCAAACTTCTAAAACTTCATTAAATTTTGACAAATACCCCTGGGATAGTCGTGAAAACATCCAAATGAGATGACTGTCACCAGGGAGTAGTTTCTCTAATGATATGGACTATCAAATGACCTTACCTTTCAGCTGAATTGAAAGCATCTCTAGAAACAGAGGATGATCTTGTATTTCCAACACTGCCAGTATGAGATCGTCTTCCTTTTGCTGAAGGAGTCTCTAGTGGTATTTCTCCCAAGCCCTATAAATAAATATTAAAAAACCCAGTATAATAACAGTCTTAAAATTAGTAGTAAAATAACTTACACAATGTAATTTTCAAAACAGCCATTAGTGATTTTTTTTTAAGATTGAAAAAATTTTAATAATCTGCTATACTTATGCTTTAAAGGGTATCAGATACATGAAACACCTTGTAATTAGTGGCCAATTAACAAAATATGTGACTAATAGGAAATTATATATTGGCTTATTAAACAAATTGTTTAAAATTTCAAAAATTAATTGTGCTGTATTTTATAACTACTCTTCTGAAAGCTTAAAATCTATATAGAAAATATAAACACATTCCATAAACAATGAATTCCTATATCACATTAGGAGTGTGAAAATAAACATTTCAATAAGAACTATTTAAAACAATTTTTTTCCCTGATACTTGTACTGGAAACGATTCACAAATACAATCTGCCTAATTTTAGTCATACTTTTTTTGCATGGTTATTTTATTAAGTTCTATATGAATTAAGCCTAAATCTTCAAGATCAATAGGCAGAAAAAAATGTTCTAAAATGTTTGTTACCACACATCTTTGTAATATTATCCCTTTATATTATCAGAGAGAAATGACAAAAATTACAATAAAATTCTATATTAAGTTAAACATTTTTCAAAAAATAATATGTAAATGGATTACTTTTCATATTTTATTTTCCTCACTTTTATTTCATTTTATTACTTTTCACATTTTATTTCCCCTGGTCACTCATTTCACAGACATTACTGAATCCCTATTATCTACCAAGACAAATAAAACGTGGTGCTCAACCTCAAGGAGCTCCCTATAAAAACTCTGCATTGTGGTAGCAGCTCTAATGATGAAACATGTAAGCTAAATAAAGCAGGAACCAAGCGTGGTAAACATTTCTATCCTCATTTTATAAAAATAAAAATAATAGTTAAAGAAATGAAGTAGCAAACCTAAAATTACCTAGTTGCTAATTGTCAGAGTTGTGATTCAAATCCAATTCCTGTAACTCAAATAAGCCAAACTACATTCTACCAAACATCAAGCTTCTGTTCAAGACATATTTACTTTCAAATGCTTGACACTAAGAATGTCTACTTAATACTGCAGTTGTTCAAATGCTATCGTAGATATATTCCAAATGATTAACAGAGAAATAATTGGAGAAGTAATTATTTCTATCCTTTATCTTCACAGAAAAACAAATTTTGCTTTTAAAGTTGTTTATAAAACAAACTTTTCCCACATACCTTTTGGCGTAAATTTTTAACAGATTCCTTAATATATGGCAAATCTTTAGATGGGACATACTTTTCAAGCATTTTTTCAAAGTTAGGATGACACATCATGAGGAAAAGCATCTTTCGACCATAATACCTATGGATATTAGATAAATATATAAATAATTTTACATATAATGAACAAGCTCGCTTTGCGGCCTTAGATGCCATTTTTTTCAATAGAAAAAACTTATCAACATCAAGATTAACATCCCTATTTTAAGTAAGCCACTGAAATGTAGACACACTAACTCTACTAGAGAGTACAGAATTAGCCTACATGCCCCACCAAACTCCAACCCCTTTTTATTTTATTTTATTTTTCCAACCCCTTTTTAAATCACTATAGCTTCAAATCTTTCAGTAATGTGTCAGATGGAGAGCCAAGAGATTTAATTCTATTTTTTAGGTATCTAAGGGTCTATATCAATGCTGGCATTTAACACAATTGTGCGTTAGGACAAGTTTGTCTTTGTCCTGGGCTCCTTGCCCATTGACCTTTTGCTGCCCACCTGATGGCCAGATGTTCTGGCCTGAGTCAACCTTCTCTTGGTCCTGTATTTCTGACCCTCTCTCTCTTCCTCACTAACTAAAACTTACCTGGGTTCCAATTCTTCAAAATCCTATTCTCTGCTACCTAAAATACACCCCAAGATAGTTCATTAATCATGGTTGATATGTTAATAAATGTAATAATCTCCAATCTAGGTTTTTTATGTTATATAAATTCGAAAATAATCATCTTAGGATAATACCTTAAGCCAAAATATCAATCTAATAGTGGAAATAAGATATCATGGAAGTGCACATTGGAGATATTTTAGGACAGAGGTATCTTATAGAACCTCACAATAATACCACATTATTATTCTTCAAGGAGGCCTGGGCCTAAAAGAAATTAGTTATACTTTTTCCAAGTTATAACTTGGAATATATTGGACTAGAAGAGCCAGAGGACAGACTTTTGTGTGGGAGGGGTATAGGATGATCTTAGGACCATCTATACCAACCAGACCCCTTCAAATATAATGAAATTGCAGAAGGAGAGGTGATGTAAGAGAATAGATATTACCTTTCTTTCCCCATAAACACAATAAAGTCTACATTCAGGTAAGTATCTCCTGATCAGTATAGTTTCAAGAACAATTCTAGTTTTTAGCCTGGGATACTAAGAACTGTAGGTTTACCATAGAGTCCAATAATAAGGGAAAGGCTAAAACTACCAAGTAAGCAAATAATAGAAACACAAAATGTAAAAAATATTAAAGCTTTAAAATTAATTATGACTTTTATAATTTTAAAACTTTAAATAAGAATCTAAGAAATGATGAAATGAGTTAGAAGAATTACTATGTCATTAAGGAAAGGTTAAGTAAGATGCACACAAAACAACCATTAAGAATCTTTCTTTGCTCCTAGCTAGTACGTCCTGATCTCTCTTAAATTTTTTGAACATTAATGTGGTATGCTGAACTCCTTTAAAATGGTTCCCCAAAGATATCCTGCTTGAATCCCCAGAATTTGTGAATATGATGAGATATCACTACTGGGATTATGTTATGTTATATGATACAGTGGGGTTACTAAGGTTAACAGTAATGTATTGAAACATCATACTGTACCCCATACATATGTACAATTAGTATGTGTCAATTAAAAATAAATTAATTAATTTTAAAAAGATAGAGAGATGACCTGGGTGAACCTAATCTAATCAAACTGGCCCTTAAAAGCAGAGAGATTTCTGTGGCTGGTAGCAGAGGAGGAAGTCAAAGAGATTCTGCGCATGAGGAAGACTTGACAGCTGTTGCTGACCTGAGGGTGAAGGAGGGCTACATGAGAAGGAGTGCAGGTAGCCTTAAGGAACTAAGAGAGAATCCTCATTGACAGCCAGCAAGGAAATGAGAACCTCAGTCCTATAACCACAAGTAACTGAATTTGGTCAACAACCTGAATGAGTTTAGAAGCAGATTCTTCCATAGAGCCTCTGGATAAGAGCCCAGTACTGCCATAAACTTGATATTGGCTTTATGAAACGCTAAGCAGAGAAACCAGTTGAGACATGCCGGATAGCTGACCTAAAGAATTGTAGGCTAAAAAATTTGTGTTGCCTTAAGCTGCTATGTTTGTGGTAATTTGTTCTCCAACAATAGAGAATTAATACATTTACATTTTTTTATTAGCTTTTGGTGTAATGAGTTCCATAAGATTAATTCCAGTTACCTAAAGGAATGGACATCTTTGTCTTAAAATGTTAAATATTTTATATCCTTCTTTACTTTAGTCTTTATGAACTCAGGATTCTCTTTTTAGTTATCTTCATATATTATTGCCATAAAATTTTAGAAGAGATATATAGGGCTTCCATGTGATAATTTCTTCTTTTTTTACTTTTCATTTGTCTATTACAAATTAAACATTTTAACAGAGAAAAAAAAAATTAGATGTTGTATGGAGCATTATTGGTCACCTAGTCCAACTATCCTAATATTATAAACAAGGACACAGAAGAACAGAGGTTAAGTAACTTGCTTAAAGTGATGGGGACTAGGAATTTAATCTAGGCTTCTGACTACATCCAAAATTTCTGTCACCACCACTGCTATTGTACCATCCATACCTTAATTATTTTGTCATTTTTCTCTGATTGTTCTTAACCTTCATAAAAAGGTTTAAGTATAACCATCATAAATTCATGGAGTTTTTCTAAGTGCGGACATCTCATGTATCAAGGGATAATATATTGTTATGCATTATTATTGTATTTTTCATGTGTACGTATTTCCTTGATTTTGCCTGATTGCTTGGAAGATATATCATTTTCCCCTAAATGCACTACCTTACATTTGCCCACAATGAAGTTCTTCTGCCACATTTCTGCCCACTCATACAGTCTTGTGTCGTTCTCATGAAGTTCATCCCTTTGACTTGGCATCACACTACCCAGAAGTATGTAGTATCTGTAAATTTGGAGAATTCGCTGTGCACTCCCTCAGGATTATTTACAAAATTGATTAAATAAGATCATCCCCGAGCACCAATCCCTGGGGACCCCACTTTCCACTCAGAAAACTGTTCATTTTCCTTTAACCTTTGTTTCCTACTTTTAAGCCCTTATAATAACAGATTTATCACATATTACTAGCAGCTATTCACCTGGTTTCTTGTGAGCTGTCTTGAGCAAACTTAGCAGCAGCTGGTAATATACGTTCGGCCATATCCTTTGTTCCAGATAAAATACGATCTGGTTCCATAAATTCCACTACATCAGATAAGTGCTGGGCTGTACATCTTCTTACTGCAATGTGTAAATGGCTACAAGGAAACATGATTGATTAAAACAAAGTTGGTGTACAAACTATATTCCAAAGATCTATCTTAAAGTTAAATGATGAAATCGTACCTCAAAAGTATTATCCGGGGAAGTTAAAATGACAAATCATTTGCATCAGTTATCCCTCCCCAAGAAGTTAAAAACAAAACTCATAATCACTGACATTTCTTTAGTTCCACATCTATGAATGGAAGTAATATTATTGGAATAACAATATTATTTTTTATACTCAGCACATATTATGACATTTATCATACAGGAATTATTTAATAAAGTTTTTTTGACCAAAAGAATTCCAAAATTTGTTTTTTGGTTTTTTTTACACCACTGATTGCAAACAATTCCATTTTTAGTTTAAGAACATTTCAATATTATTCAGAATACTACCTTTGTCCTCCATTGATAAGGGAAATGACTGCACGTGCAGGAGTTACATTATTAACCATAGCTCTCAATGCTTTGTCAACATCTTCTCTTATAAATGTATTGGATTCTCCAGCCTTGTGCAACAAAACTTTTACCGTAGTATCTAATTCTTGATCCATGCTCTTTTTCAAATAAGTGAAAAGATCACTTAAACAGACCACAGCAGCACGAGAAACTCCAGAGCGTAAATTTTTCACCTAAAAATCAGTAATAATGACTTTGAAATTAATTTTATTATTAAAGTAACATACTTTAATATGTATTATCTTACATCCTAAAAATCAATATCTAATAAATTTTTTAAATGTTGCAAATTAAGACATGGGTTACTTTAACCACATACAAGCCTATGCATATCATACAGTACAGAGTGGTTTAAAAATTTTAAAGGTCAAATAAATATGGCATATTCTTTGTTTTTCGAACAATTCTTAAGTGATCTGAAAAATAAGTTTACCTCTTGAACTACTGCAAAATTTGTTTCATGCAACTTTGTGTTCAATATCTCTGAATGAAAAGCAGCTAAGCATCTAATAAAATTCAGTCCCTCAATTTTCTTCTCCCTATGGGAAAAAGAAACAACAAAATCTTTTATTAAATGGGGCTCACCTGGAACAGGATCTCAGATGTAATCTTCCTCTTTTTTTTTTCGTGGCTGGCCAGTACGGGGATCCAAACCCTTGACCTTGATGTTATAACACCACACTCTAACCAACTGAGCTAACCGGCCAGCCCAGATGTCTTTTTTTTGTGTGTATGAAATACTGCCACTGAAGAGACCTTATCTATGTTCCCTTATCATTTAGAAATCTCAAATAAAAAATAAGATTTTAAAAATTTGAATCATAATTGATTATCCATATTTTTGGGATTCAATGTGGACATACTGCCACTGAAGAGACCTTATCTATGTTCCCTTATCATTTAGAAATCTCAAATAAAAAAATAAGATTTTAAAAATTTGAATCATAATTGATTATCCATATTTTTGGGATTCAATGTGGATATACGTTGATAAAAATCAATATTACTAGTATGTATATTGTTACAAATTGTACTTATTCTTTATGCCCCTTGTCCAATCTCTCCCTATACCCCTCTCCCTCCCCCCTCCCATCACTGATAACCCTAGATTTCTTCTCTCCCTCTGAAAGAGTAATGGTTACTCTGTTGATTTGTTGCCTAGATGATCAGTCCAATGCTGAAAGGTGTGTTCAGGTCCCCCAAAATTATCGTAGTGCAGATGCTTCTTCTGTCACTCTGCAATGGGTTTTCTAGAGAGAGACATCCTATTCTTTTCTTTGGACTCTGCTGGTGACTCTCCTTGTGTCAGTGCATTCCAGTTGCTGGTGGACCATCTGCATGGTGGTTGTGACGTCTAGCCACTTTTGCGGCAGCCGTGTTTACTGTGGTAGTTGTGGTGGGCCAACCACATGGAAGTGATGTTTTTGGCATGCTCCTTGGTGCTGGTGGTGTGCCTGGTTGTGGACGGGGGTCCAGTCCCTGGCTCCATCCCCAGGCCCTCGGGCAGGGCCCCGAGGCACTGGCAGCGTGCCTGGTTGTTGGCAGGGGCCCAGTCCCCAGCTTCTGTAAAGGTGTTTTAAGACCCAAAACCACTACCGACAGTCAAACGTAGCTCATTCTTTGTATTAAAAATAAAAAAATTCTCCCCTAGTATGAATGCCATATTCTTTCTAGAGAATAGGAGAGACAAGAATGACAAACAAAAGGTAAGGGAAATAGTAAAATAAAAATGGAAGGAGAAAAGTAACTACATGTTACCTTTCTGGTGAGTGTGTGATCCAAGCACAGAAAACCACTAGTAATTGTTTCTGTAACTTGTATTACTTTTTCATTATCTGACTTAATGAGCCAGTTGAAGAGTAGGTGGATACTAACAACAAGAGCATGGGATTCTTGAGGGACTTACATATAACATTTCAAACTTGATGGTTTTCATTTTGTAGGTTTGAAGAACATAAGCTAAGATGAGTTTCCTTAGTTGATAATATTACTGATGGTCATTTTTAAAGCATTTAAATCCCCTGAACAAGTTATGAAAAATGGAGAAAAAAGACCTACCAATGCAAGGTAGCAAAAGTAAATCTATTTATTAGCTGTCCTGTCCAAGTTTTTCATTTTTTGTATAAGCATACAACGTTTAAAGTTACAGTTTAGGTGGAGAAACAACCCAATTCTATACACATAATCAAAAATAATAGAAAGTGGAGTCAAGAAAGAGGGGAACAGAAAAAGAAATTAATAAATAGTGGCTAAAATTTTTCCAAATTTCATCAAAACAATAAGCTCTAGATACAAGAACCCCAAAGTTAAACCATAGAATACCTCAAAACATCATAATCAAATTGGTATAAAGAGTATTAAAGAGAATATTCTTAAAAGAAACTGTAAAAAAAAGGACACATTACACACAAGAGCGCAAACATAATAATTACAGAAGATTTCAGGTCAGAAATATGCCAGACAGAAACCACTGAACAAAATCTAAGTGCTAAATGGAAAATAAAGCCCTAAACTGTCAGTCTAGAATTCTATAACCAGTGAAGATACTTTTAAAAAATGAAGGTACTTAAAGTAGGTAACAAAAGCTGAGGGTGATGTTACTGGCTACACTACATGAAACATTAAAGGAAGCATTTCAGGCAATAGAAAATAATAGATGAAACTCAGATCTACAAAAAGGCTTGAAGAACAACGGAAATGGTAAAAATGTGCATTTGTAACAAAAAAAATTTCTTTAAGAGGTAACTGTCAAGAAAAAATAAAAATATACTGTGGACTTTATAACATATGGAAAAGTAAAATGTATGACAAGAACATAACGGACAAGGGGATGAAAGTCTACTATTATAAGTTTCTTACATTATACATAAGATGATAAAATAATAATTGAAGCTAGACCATGAGAAGTTAAACATCCATGTTATAAACTCTACAGCAAGAACATAAAGAAAAAGAAAAAATATATATCATTGAGGCCAGAAGAGATACAATGAAATATTGAAGAATATGCAAATAATCTAAAAGAAGGCAGAAAAAGAAAAAAAGGAACAGATAGGACAAATAAAAAAATATGTAGCACGG